CAATAATACAAACAGATTCACTGGGCGTGACGAATACACTTTAGTTAATTTTTAGTATTTTTTTATTAACGTTGCTTGAATCTTGTGGCCAAGAGCTTCTAAGAGATCTAATTAAAGTGATTTTAACACCATTCGATTCATCTTGATAAGGCGAATTAAATGGTATTAAAACCGTTTGTTTCTGATTATTGTGCTACATTACTACCCGTGCCAGAATACCTGACTCTCCCTTACATAGTACACGCAGACAACTGAAACAATGGTCAATTTTGTAATAAAGATCTCTTGTGGTAATACAATATTGTACCTGCATTCGAAACGTAAACAATTTTGTGTCTTTTATTGGAAAACAAGTTAACACCAACTTATTTACAGTGTTGGCAAAATGAAATATGACTTTTTTATGACAAATAAATGACGTAAATTTTATAAAACATAATAAAATCATATCAATAATATTTTTTTTATAACAAAAATGACATGCTTTTATGACATTCAATCTAATAATTTTGTCAAATTGCCAAAATTACTCATAAATATGTCCACATTTTACAAATTATAACATTAACGTGCTACATTATACTAATAGACATCGCTATATATCGATATCAATCCAATAAGCATATATCATGCACAGATTAAGAATACAATTCTTTATATAAAATCTATTACAAAATAAGAATTATCATCAATCTATACAAGATTCAAGTAGAAAAGATTTTTTCTAACCCATTTTTTACGATGCTCAATATATATTGCTAATACAAATTCTTGAAATATGACAATCTACGATTACATAATAAAATTTATAACATAAATGTAATTATTTAATTTTATAATTGTCGCAAGAAATCTGATAATATTAATCAGTTCATCAATTTTTCTTTGTTAAAATCAATTTTTTATTTTGGTAAATTACACCTATTTTCTTTTTGCACAGTAACATAAAAATTTGTATATAATATTATGTAATTGTTTATCACATAAAAATTCAAATTTATCATATAATGCACATTAACAGATTTGGAATAAACAAAAAAAATGGTGCGTAACTTTCGTGTGAATCAATGTTAGTTATTATTATTATTATTATTATTATTATTATTATTGGAAAACAAAAAAGCATACCCGATACATACTATAGCGATTTAATTAGTTAAGATTTACAAACCGTATAAAATGTTGGAAATACATAATACATACCAAAAATAGAAAAAAATTAAAAAATTAAAAAAAAATAAAAAAAAATAAAATTAAGCGAATTGATTCACATGCAAAAAATTGAAAGTTACGCACTATTTTTTTTTATTAAAAGTATAATAAATGTTGAGTATATAATTGTTGCAAATATTAAAAGAAGAGAAGAATTAATATCAATGTTAACAATAATAATACTGAATTTACTCTTTTTTTTTTTTTTGACTTTTTCGAAGTTTACTTTTTTTAAATCTTTTTTTTTTTTATGTAAATACATATTTATGTGTTATTAACTTAGCAAGTTTCGATATACATTAAGAAAACAAGAAAACATAGCGATAGTAAATGTCGATAATATTGATATTTGGCAACTGATCTTTAATTGTCTTTTGTATATTTTTTTCTATTATTAGTTATTACTATAAAGACTTTATCATGTAATTCTAATTCATCTAATAATAATCATGTCAGTATTATGTCCTTTTCGGGTAGAGCCATTGACCCAACCTGCTAGATATTGGCATCATCTCGAGTTACGTGAATTTGTACATGGATCTGAAATTGTTTTTTATAACTGTCAAGTGTAGAGATGTGATCTGTTATCTATTTTCCTATTTAAAAATTACGAATATGCGGATATCAGGATTTTTTTATAAAAATATTATTATAAAATTGAATTAACGGATATCTGGGCAAAATTAGGTAATTAAAATATAAATTAAGCAAAAATTAAAATAATCCGGATCGCATCTCTAGTCAAGTGACATGTAATTACGTATATACATTAAATTATATTACATATATAGTATTCAAACTCGCTTGTGGAAAACTTATTGAAGTATGAACAGTATGCCCCGGTAATGAAATATTACATTACAGATAAATTGCAGTTCCCTTGCATGGATTACGTTATTATACAGTATTTCAATAAGATCACAACCAGTCAATGGGCCTTTCTATTTAATGTATTTAATAGTAAGCCATTAACGTTAACACATATATCTTGTAACTAATTATTTATATAGTATATTGTTCAACCCCGATTAATACATAAAATTTAATTTTAGAAAGGTACAATATGTATTTCTTTTTAATCAATGTTGAATCCTTTTTTCGGAATTATATTATGATGATACACGTGTATATGCATATTTTAGGAACCTGAATCTTCTGAAGAAACCTGAATCTACTAAGGAAATATAAATCTTGATTTGGAAAGCTATTACCAGATATCTATTACCAGATATGTTTAATTCCTCCAATTTATCAGCTTAGCCATATCTATATTGCACTTTCACTGTAATTGACTGGTTTTTATAGTTTGTCTTGTGACATGGTAAAATATTATTAGTTAATTGAAATTGCTTGCAATTTTAAATATTTGATATAGAACTCTATTGGCATTAGAGGTGCGATCCATTATCCATTTCACTAAATAAATTTATGGATATCCGTAAATTTAAATAAGAAAACATATAACGGATCGCACCTCTAATTGGCATGATTGAATAAATTATTACTACGAAATCTTAACACCTCAAAGTTAAAAATCATCTTAGTATAAACAAAATCTATAATTCAAGATCTTATTAAAAAATTACTACTGTGCGAATTTTTTTTAAAAAAAAAAAAAAACTATAAAGTCCCTCTTGAAGACAATAAAAATGTAAAAAAAAACAATTTTTAATAATATATGACACCAGTTAACTAACATTGAAGAATTCTTAAACTTAATTCTAAATTAATAATCTTAGACATGGGACTTAAAAATTAAAAATTCAAATGTCATACTCCTGCGAATCATTGAAAAAAATTTTTTTTCAAAATTATTAATGCTCAATTTAGTATCACCCTTTTTTCGTATTGTTAGCCCATCTCCAGGTTATATTTCCTTTACTTTTATGCACTACAATTTTATTCAAGGAATCTTCTCAAATTAGGCTTAATATGAGCCAATTTTCAAAAATACAAAAATAAATAAATAAAATAAAAACAAAAATTATGTCTACTTATCTGGATGTTTTGATTTACCAATTCAAATAATACAAATAGAAGAATATAAATTGTAAGTGAAAATGGAATCATAATAGGTTCGGAATTCAGAATCTAATTTAATTCAGAATTTTTAAGGTTAGGTAGGGTTGGGATTTTTAGTATAATTATTCCGTTTAGAGATGTGAACTGAATATTGAAATATTGAACAGATAACATAAATAATCTACGGGTTTCTTAAAATCTATAGATATTCATCAGTTTAAAGTAACCCGTGAATTATCTGTTTAATATTTCAATATTCAGTTCACATCTCTAATTCTGTTTTGTACTACGTATGACATATAAATGAGTTGCAATTTTTGTAAGAAAGTTGTTTAGGGTTTTAGTAATAATAATCCTCCCATGATTTTGATATAGTGATCAGGGAGTAACATAATAATTTGATATAACAGATAGATTTATCTCTGTCTCAAAATAACGTGTACTCTAAATATCGCACATATACTCAAAATATTGAACGGTGGACATTATTTCGCGAAAATACGGTATATTGTATTTTTCGGAAGATTAAAAGTCAAGGAACCCAGTGATATCTTCATGATAATCCCATCACATGATTATGTGTTCGGCCTACATTAGGGTTAGAGTTAGAGTTAGGTGATATGATAGTTTAGGCTAATTTGTTTAGTGCTAGTAAACAAATGTTGTAATTGTATGATTTCACATGATGTGATAATCACTGGGTTCCTTGTTCTTCAAGTATCCCTTTTAAAGTTATTAAAATTTGCTAAAATTATTTTTTTTTTTTTAGTTCGGGTACTTTGCATTTGGGATCATTTTTCCGTGAATTTTTAATTTATGAAAAAAAAAAACAAAAATTTGATTTATTTATGTCTTTATGTGTATTGTACAGTATTTAAATTTTAAATTCGAACCTCTAGATAATTTTCTAAATTATTGTAGCAAAAAAAAATGCATTTTCAATTTTAAATAAAATACCAATGTTACATTCCTATATTACATTACATAAAATTGAATCCTAATTCTTACTGTACAGCAAAGTTTTATTATTCAAATATCCTTTTTTTTGTAATCTCTCGTTTCTAGTGCAAATATCATTTCAACGGATAATAAATTACTCAACTTTTAAAGCTAGGATACTGACAACCTGGACTGAATATTATTTACTGTCAGATTTAAGTCTAGAAACATGCCATCCTAATAAACTAAAAAAAAAAATTATACGAATACTGATTAGTATAGAGTTTGTTGTTGTACATGTATTTTTTTTTTTATGATAGTTAGGATAAGATTCTGAATTTTTTACATCCAGTTTATGTTAAATTTAAATGATACCTACTTATTTCTATTTCCCTTTAGGTTTTTGTTGGTTATAATATTCTAGATATTTCATTATATGTTTATTTTTAGCCTCTTCAGCTTTTTTTTCAAATTTTAAGCGCTCTTCTAACAGTTCATTACACCACATTAAGCTGATTATTTTGAAAGCATCACTTAGGGTGATGTTAGGAATTATCTCCTTAACTTCTTGTAGTTTTTTTTTCAAAATTTAAGCGCTCTTCTAACGGTTTATTATGCCACATTAAGCTGATTATTTTGGAAGCATCGCCTTGGGTGATGTTAGGAATTATCTCCTTAATTTTTTGTAGTTTTTCTTTCCTGAAAAAAATGAAGGCATTGGGGGACTTTGTGGGATTCTTGATCTTTGTTTTAGACTTTTTACGAATGCTTCTGTTAGCGGGATTAATATTGTAAGGAATAATACATAAAGGCATGATTGGTGCAGATTAATTTTCTTCAAATTCCAAATAACTTGAATTAAACATGCTATCGAATAATGCTGTATCGGTAGAGGTGGTGGGAGAACCATTTAGCTGATTAGCAGTAAATGTCAGTTGTAAGGTCGGTATAGAACCTGATGCATCACATGATAAAGTGAGTTAGAATCTAATATGTGAACAATGTTTTTATTGATATCATAATTTATTTCTTGGTTTTGCTCATATTTTGTCACAGTTACAAATAATTCGAATCAAATTGAAATTTGACGGATGTTCAATTAACAACCAATCATGATACCTTGACACAATTCTGCAAGTCCTACAATTTCTAACAATGTAAAAAGTTTTGAGATTAGTACGTATATAATCCAAATCAAATTGAAATTTGATAATCATAATACCTTGACATGATTCTACAAGTCTTAAATTTTTATAGAAGTTATAGCTTGCTCCTTGGTTTTGTTCATTCTCGGTTACAATTTCTAACAGTGCAAAAGGTTTTGGGATTAGCATAATTTGAAATTTGATTAATAACTGAATTAATAATCAATCATGATACCTCGACATAATTCACCAAGTCCCTTTATGAGACTGATATCCAGATAAACCATTTAGTTTAAAGATGCAATATTTCTTTAAAGGATGGTGTGAAGCTTTATTTCGCTAAAAGATAACTGGAAGATAATGTTTGAAGCTATTTCTTTAGTGATGAAATTAAATAGCTCATCAAAACATATCGATATGAATTAAACATTTATTTTTAGTAACTAAATTAATTATTTGTACCACACTTTAGACCACGAATTAAGTAATAACATAGACTTGAGTATAAATTTAAGAGGGCTAATGTCAGATCTTAATTGGTTATGCGCAATGCAAGCACATTGAAAGGTCACTTGATCTATGCGCATTTCATGCACAGATAAATTTATTGCTTATGAATTTAAAGTTTATTAAAAAAGGTAATTATGATAGTCTAATTAATATATGAGGGGGTTGACTCATATTCTACTCTAAAATCCCGCCATTTTCCTGAAAGAACATAATTTGACTAAATTGGCCAGCATTATAGCTAATGTTAGCTAATCTTGTCAGTATCATGTCCTTTTCAGGAATCGGTCTTTCGGGATTTCCGTTGACTCAACCCCGCTAGATATTTGTATCATACCGAGTTACGTGATTTCGTGCATGGATCAGAAATTGTTTTTTATAACTGTCAAAGGTAGAAATGTGATCAGTTATCCATTTTCCTATTTAAAAATTATGGATATGCGGATATCTGGATTTTTTTTATAAAAATATTATTTTAAAATTTGAATTAACGGATATTCGGATCGTATCTCTAATCAAGTGACATGTAATTACGAACAGGAAAAACTGTTGATATTACACGACTGATCCTTCACCCGGTGTGCACCATATAAAAAAATGATTTTACAATACCAGACCATTCCGCTAGTACATGTTATGAAACACTATTTTTATTATAATAAAATGTGTTAGAATAATCATAACATGTACTAGCGGAATGGTCTGGTATTGTAAAATCATTTTTTTATATGGTGCACACCGAGTAAAGGATCAGTCATGTAACATCGACGGTTCCTCCTGTTGTAATTACGTACGTACATACATTAAATTATAATTTTATATTGTCAACTCACTCATAGGAAAATAGGTGAAGTACAAACAATACGCCTTGGCTATGAAATGTTACATTACAGATATATTGCAGTTTCCTTTACCAGTTAATGGGGCCTTTCTATTTAAAACATTTAATAGTAAGTCATTAACATATATATCTTGTAACTAACCATTTTATATAGTTTATTGTTAATCTCTGAGTAATACATAAATTTAACTTTGGAAAGGTACAATATGTATTCCTTTTTAATCAATGTTGAATCCTTTTTCGGAATTGTATTATAACAATAGCATATGTATATGCATATATTAGGGAACCTGAATCTACTGAGGAAAGATAAATCTTGATTTGGAAAGCTATTACCACCAGATATGTCTAATTCATCCAATTTATCGGCAATTGAGGGCTTAGCCATATCTATTGACTGGTTTTTATAGTTTTTCATGGTAAAATATTATTGGTTAATCGAAATTACTTGCAATTTTAACTAAATATTTGATATAGAACTCTATTGGCATGAATGAACGAATTATTACTACGAAATCTTAACAACTCAAAGTTAAAAATCATCTTAGTATAAACAGAATCTACAATCAAGATCTTATTAAAAAATTACTACTGTGCGTATTAAAAAAAAAACCTCTGTAAAGTCTCTCTAGAAGACAATAAAAATATAAAAAAAAAAAACAAATTTTAATGATATATGACTCCAGTTAGCTAACACC